AGATCCGAACTTATATCCAAATGCCGTCACGAAAACAAGTTTTATCTAAAGAACATCTGACGCTTCCCCGCTACAATAGACTTTTGTCAATATATTCACACCTACTGCCTCACTGTCCTTCACTAATACATCCACATGCATTGTAATTTTCGCTTTTTCTCACCTATTATATGATAACAACCCATTGTAATCAGCAGCTATCTTTTTATATACATAAATTAGCCTACAAGAATGTTTTTCATTAAATCTGTCTGACGAGTGCGGTAAGCACGAAACTCAGAGTTACAGGGAATCATGCGTGTTTCATTTTAGTCATTTTAAACTGTATATTTATATTCAAAATCTTTTAACTTCTGAAGGACGAATACCCGTAAGGAAATAAAGTTGACTTGTTTTCTCGGTCCGTATCGTAAGTTATGGAGCCTCGTTTCTTCCTCTCGGATTTATGGCCTGCGCACTTGATCCAGGAATCCTAGCGGAAAGAAACTCGATTTTTGACTTACATTACGGAGGTATGTTGTGGCTGATTCATGGAAGTTAACTTCTTCACTCTTACAAACTTTGCATTATTCAAGCCGCCGTGTGTATTTTGAGAAGCATCGGCCGACACATTCGAGTCGTGCTGCCGGGACACTGGCCGCCTTTCCGTTATTCCCTCAACTAGCACCTGAGTTTAAATTAGAGATTTATGACAATTTCTTGACACTCGAGGTCAAGTTTGTCAAAAATTACAACACACTGATCTTGCGATTTTACTCGGAGATTATTAGCTTTGAAATTCAAACAACAAAAATTCATAACGTTAATTAGCCGTAACGTAAAGAGTTTAGCTTTGAAACTCTATACAGTGGTCAGTTTACGTTGTCAACTTAGTTTATAACACTTCATTATCCTGTTATATTCTCTCACCGACGCAGCACCACAGTTTCTTTAGAAACTGACCCCCTTTATCAGATAACGAAATAGAATGAACCGGTTTTTTTGTGTTGTTGTTGTTTTTTTAGCAGAGACCCACGCCTGTACTTCTTTGATTTACTTTGTGAAATATGGCTTTAGGCAAGTTTAGTTGAATAAAAAGAAATTTATATACATATGTAAAGATAAACAAGTCACATAATAGAAAACGTACATCTTTATTTTGCACTGTCAAAGAAACGTGAGACGATAATCGATAACCTAAAAAGAAAAACAATTAATCACAATTTCAATTGCTGATTTA